CATGTTAAATATTGGAAAAGATGCTGCATTCCTGAAAGGTTAACACAGCAACAAATATTTAAAGGATCCTGACCTTAAATTCTGAGGCTTCAATAAAATACACACGAATCTTATCCCAAATTTTTAATGGTAGACTGAAGAAGGCACCTGTAAATAAATCAACATTTTTGACCAGAAGGAAAATAATCTGGTCTTGGACTTTTATTTTTATATAGAGATGTTGTAAAGACATGGACAACTAAGTATCCATAAAGAAAAAAGAAATTTGCCTTATCGCTGATGAACAGCCATGTGAAATTGTTGTTTGCTGGCTCAGAGAATGTCTGACAATAAAAGACATTAGCTAAAAATATGTTTTATTTTTTTAACAATATGTCATGTATAATTTTCCATACAACACAAGTGGATTTAGTGCATTATTTTTAATAAGTTTATCGTATTCCATGGTGTGGACATACATTATTTCACTCATTTCCCTATTGACAGGTATTCAGGTTGCTTCTGGTATTTTTCCTCTTATAAATAATGCTGCAGTAAACATTTTCATATGTGTATTATTCACTGATACTTTATAATGAAATATTTTTAGAAGTTTAATTACTTTTAATTTATAAACTAAACATATTGGATGACTCCTTCTTTAGATTGATTGATAGAGTCTTATAGGTCCTTGGTCTATTTTGTTTTACTAGAAATAAATTCACATATACAAATATATTTACCCACAAGCATGCATATAGGGTGGGGCAAAGTTGATTTATAGTTGTGAGTATGTGAAACATAGTTTATTCTTGTATTATTATTTATTAATTTTTGTATTATTTTCCATACGGACAACTGTAGACCTACTTTTGTCCCACCCTGTATGTGTGTCCATAGGAAACCTTTGCAGTCCTCATAATTTACCCCCAGCCTGCACATCCAGCATTCACCACGGCACATTACTAATTCTTCTCACCCCCTACCCCCCACATGCCTGTGCCTTTGCCATGTCCCTCTCTATACTTCCCTTAGTAAAATTTGTTTTGAGATTTAGTTCAAAGCCACCTCCTCCCCAAAGCTTTTTCTAACCTCTCCAACCTTTAAGCAGAAAATCCCTTCCTACTTTGTGATCCCATAGCAATTTCTCCATTTCTGTTTTGTAGCCCTTTCCGCAGTCTACTTTGTGTGAAAGTTGGCAGCGCTCACAGCTGTGCCCCCTGCTGCATTATCAGTCCCTGGGTAGCAGGCACCATCTTGGCTGCATGTAGGAAAGGTTCAAAGAAATGTTCTTTGGACTTGGACAATTTATCTAATAAAAATAGGTAGTCAGAGCCCAATATTTGCCTTTCAAGCCCTATTGTAACTAAATACAGTTAGGAAGGCATTTTTGGGAAAAGATAGCAATGTGAAATAGTCATATGTGGTATGGGTATTTTGGCCCTAGGGACCTTGTCCTTCACTTCTAAAACAGGGGTCAGCAAACTTTTTCTGTAAAGGGCCAGATAGTAAGTATGTTAGACTCTGTCAGCAATAAGATCTCTGCTAGAGTTACTCAGCTTAACTGTAGTGTGAAAGCTGTCATAGACAGTAAGTAAACAAATAAACATGGCTGTGTTCTAGTAAAACTTCACTTAGAAAAACAGGCAATGGACAGGATTTGATTTGTGGGCTGTAGTTTCCCAACTCCTGATCTAGATGGTATTTAGTTACATTTAGACTGATCTGAGTTAAATTTAAATTCTGGCTCTTCTACTTTGATTTTTCTGTTTAGTATGTGACTGTGGGCAGGCTACTTACTCTTTCTGTCGTTTTCAACAAATAAACATAAGATTCATATTACCTCCTACATATTTAGAAGCTAGCATTTACTGAATACAGAAATGGTAGCCACTAATTTGTCATGCTAAAAGAAGTGGAAGCATAGAAAGAGGCTCAGAGAACATGCAGTCCCTTTTTTATTTTTTTCAACAGAAAGTAGCAAAACCCTAAGGAGAAGGAAGAGGAAAAATAATGAATTGCCGAGATTATTGGATGGCAGTGGAAGGTCTCACCAACAGGAGCAGCCATCATGTATAAGTCATGTATAAGTCATATACACTCCTCTATAGAGTGACCCAGGAGAGACAGACAGATGAGTAGCTTGACACTTGCTGCAGCAACAGCAATACTATTAATAACAGATTTTGAAGATTGTTTGGAGTGCCTGGAACTCTGATAACTATGTAAAAGATATGAGCCAGGCTTCAAGATTATTGGTAAAATAGTTATGCCTGCAAATTTCAGTGGTATTACCTCCTTAGCTAAAATGCAAACAAATATGAATCTTTGGCACCTTACTAACCCAATTATTTCCAAATATTTCACCTGACTATATGCAATTGGCTCTTTCAAGATGCAATACCTCAGTGCCTTTTTTCATTGCCATGAAGATAAAGCACCCCCTTCTCTTCCCCCTCAAAAAAGATAAAGCCCAAACCCTTGAGAACAGCATGCAAGGCTCTCCACAACTTGGTTCCAGCTTATTCTTTCAGCCTCACTTTTGATCTTTTCTTTCCTTATACAGCACAGATGCTTCATCCAAGTAAGCTGATTAGCTTATTCCTGTCCCCAGAACTCTTCTCCCTCCCATTTTGTTTATGCTTGTTCTATTCCAACCTAATTCTCTAGATCTTTACAAACCCATCAGTCATCCACATCCCCATTCTTTCAGGACCAGACATTCTGAGCCCTCTGCAGATAACCCGACAAAACCCAGTGCGAAGCAACACCAATGTCCTTCCAGCTGCCAGGAGCATTATTATTATTATTATCTCTCCTTTTCTTGTGCTCTGCTTGTGGCATCTCCTCAGAGCTTTCTGTAAATGCTTAGTAAACCCTATGTTGATGGAAGATGATGTGTATACTAGAAGGAAACCTAGATTTGAAGTTTGAAGGTTTGAGTTTATGTTCCAACTCCACCATCAACTCACTGTGTGTCCAAGATGGGAAATGGTTTCATATCTCTGAGTCTCAATTTCTTTATTAGTAACAAAGGTCTTATATCTACCTTGTAGAGTTTTTAAATGAAATGAGGTTAAATGAAATCAAGAGTCTGGAAGTCCTTGAAAGGTACCTACCTCACTCAGGAAATGGAACTGAATCTGAACTGTTTACAGGGTTTGGCTTGGTGTATCTCCCTAGTGATGTAATAATTTTGAAAGCAAGAACTATACCCAAACATATTTGTGATTAATTGCAGTACCTGGCATGTTCATAAAAAGCTGCTCAATAAGTTTATTTGATTTATTTTTACATTGCTTTTTAAAATACCCATCAAAATTATGTGAGGCATGCTAGCTTCTGTTTTTTTAATCTTGTAAGTTAGAACCAAGATCTTCATCAGCATATATTGCAGAGGGGTACTTTAAGGTTATTTGAAGATCAACTCAGTGTTATAAATTTTTTAAACTTGGGGGGAAATTCCCAAGGTTTTTCAAAAAAGTGTACACACAGTTAATATATTTTTCCAGCTTAATTTTGCAAAATTAATACTCTGTACATATGTCGTACTTCCAGCATTCCATATTGACCAGCTCTCGCTGCCAGATGCTCACTGCTGAAGTTTAAGCCCTCTTTATCTAGTTTATATTCTTTTCTACAAGAATGTAAATCCAGCCTGAAGAGGATATATATTCCTGATGATATATAGAGAATATAATGAAAATTATACATGATATATACTGAATTAATGAAAATATTCCACACACATTTTACACATGCCCATGATGCATAAGAGTTGGTAGACTATTTTATAATGCACTGTTTCATTAATTGTTCAGAGCAAACCCTGTAAGGTAAGTACTGTCTCCATTTTGCAAAGTGGGAATCTGACACCTTTTGAATTTAAATATGCACCCTGGGTCACACACTTAGGACACAGGTGCTAAGACATGGAGCCCAGTTGTCCTGCACGAGGTGTACTGGTGTCTGCCTTGCACCGCAGGTGATTAACAATCCGGCATTAGTATTCTCCACAGTAGCTATGTAGGCCCTACTTTTAAGGTCCAAAAATGGGATTTCAGTAGAAATTTTTTCCTCTGTTTCTTGGGGGTTTTTTTTTTCCATGAAAAAAGTCTTCATTGTTAAAGAAAATGTGATAAATTGAATGTGTTTCTACCATGACATAACATGTGTATAGAACATATAAGTAAAATTAATTCAAGTCTTGCATAAGCCACTTCCCTTTCTATGTAAGGTTTTAGTAACTGAATCAGATTCCTCACCTAGATCAGAAATTGAAAAAGTACTTGGATGACAAACTCAAAAGACTTATCCATGAAGATAAAATGAGTTGCTGTGCAAGTACCATCACAAAATACATTTGCAAAGCAAGGTATTATAATTTTCATTAAATCATAAATATTACAGATAAATTAATCAACTGTCTCAAGTTCTGTCTGCCCAAAATTAATTATTAGGTAATTGGCAACACTGGAAAAGTTTCATCTCAGAAACTACCACATTCACTACAAACTACGAGCCTCAAGTTTTTATAAAGTTTCATGAGGCATACAAACTTAGCACTTAATGCATACTGAAACATTTAAAAGTTAATTAATTCTCTGACATTCAGTAATGTAACTAAGCTACTTTATACGGTTGTTTGGGCACAATGTATATAATATTCTGATTAAAATAAGCACTAAAATCATCAGTAGCAATTATTTACCCATCTACTGTCCCTAATTGCTCCTCCACAGAATCTGAAGAGATTATTCCCCAGAGAGTTTTAGAAACATTTGGCAATAAGAGATGGTGGAGTTGCTTTTAAGGTTTGGATTTCAAAGTTAGAATTTCTGAACAGAAGTGTATTTTTTAAATATTAAATTGAAAAATTTTAAGAAGGTTCTGTGCAGCAAAATACCTGCTAATTCACTGTTGTTTTCCCTGTGGTTTCTATTTAAATGTGTGCTGCTGTCATGATTTATTCCTCCTTCACAGGATAATGAATCTAGATTTTATTTCTGTTCTTTGTCCAGACTTGTACAGCAGGCAAAGTGTTTGAAAATCAAAGAAAAAGAAGATTTTGACTGGGATAAACTCTTCAGAGGTAAAAACAAAAAACACTAGCAAAAACACAGGCTATACTTTTTGTTGAAAAGACGTCTTACTTGTTTGTTTGGTTGGTTTTACCGTTCCAGTAGAGAAAGTTGGAAGGATCTACTTAGAAGTCAAGAGACGTGTGTTCTAGTCCCAACGCTACAAATAAATTCTGTCCCTTAATGCACTAAACCTTAATTTTCTCTTGTTTAAAGTGAAAGAACTGGACTCTAATATCTGTGGCACTCACTCGTGACAGGACAAATCTAAACCTATGGAAGTAAACCTATGGAAGTAAAAGTCTCAGTGGTAGAATCTTTTTCTGCCATCTTCAGAGGACAGAGGGAAACCAGAGTGTCTTGTGCTTTTATAAGTTGGGGGACTGGGAAATGTACCTCATTAGAAAGGCACACAAGAAAGTTACTGGAAAAAGGTTTAATTATTAAAAGCTGAGAGATTATTAGAGTACAGGAAAAAGAACTACATATTTTCATTTAATTATTATTCTTTCCAATTAAGGCTCCATATAGACAAAATTTCATCTGTAATTTGAGGTTATATTGTAGCAAGCTAAGGAATAAATTTTCCCTGGGTTGTGTCAATTCGGTGAAATAATTTTTATTTGGTCAGATTACAACATAGGTAATTAGTAATTAGTATCATTATGTATTTCTGTATGTTTTTATCTCCCAAAACACCATAGGAGATCTGTTTATCTTCTAAAAAGAAAATTAGTGAGTTTTCTGCTGACTTGGCCAAAAGTGCAACAAATTAGCCCAATTTGGTAGCACTGCACTTCATCTCCAATGCAATTACCTACTCTACATTTCTTAAGAGAAAAGGAGTGTGCTTGGCAGTCATTGAACAAAAGGGCAGTGGCTTCTCTGAGCAAAGCTAATCTGTCCATTTTAGACAGTACCCAAGCTCAGCTTGCAGTTGGAAGAACTCAGCCACAAAAGGAGGAGGAGCCTTCCTCAGAAAATGGAGGGCAGTTAAGTTACTTTGGTTTCCTTGTGCATCTACACATTTCTCCCTAACTGGAAGAATTTCTGTGTGATGTAACTGGTCTGAACAGCGCTTTAAATAAAATAAATAACTGACATCTCAGAAACTGCTTCATACAAATGTTCTAATCCATTTTACCAAACCTTCATTCCATGAACAGCATGTTTTGGAATGATATGTAGAGTCCTAAAGAAGAGGCAGTATATTAACTCATATTTTAACACTTTTGAAAATATCTCCACAGAGTAATTATTTATATGTTCCTGTTAAAACAGATATACAATTTTATCATTCATGTAGTAAAAGTAGTAATGAGGATCACCTTTGTATAAATAGAAAATATCACTAGCAAAATGCATTTGCAACATGCGAGAGATGAAATCGCTAACTTATTTAGTATGCACTTCTTCCTTTCTGCATGATTTGTAAAAAGATTATAACCATATGCGTGTATTTATTCATGCATATACTGTGCGCTGTCGCGTAAACATTTTGAGTTCCTCACAGTGAAGGTCTTTGTTCACAGACGGGGCGGTCAAGACACAGGGGCACGCGTTGAAGCACCCTGCCTGAGCAGAGAGCGGCTTGTGGCCGGGGCCCATATCTGTGGGTCCAGCACTCTCTTGTTGAGAAAATGCCTTCAGGGATCCATTCTAGTCCATGAAAATTGATAGGATTAGTACCTGCTTTCTATGCTAGCCTTTTGTCACCCAAACAGGTTCTTCCTTCTATTGGATTAATGATCATCATTGCTATAATTAAGCTCATTTTCTGTAGTTCTAACCTGGATGAGACAAAATAAGGAGAATAAATATGTTACTGCTGTGATATTGGGTGATTATTTAATATTTTCCTTTTATTTTTTGCAAGTCTATAAATCTGAGCATAATTTCTAAATTTTTCACCTTTGCTATTTGTCTGATTTTTGGTCTGTCTGTAGATTTGAATAAACACCTTAATTCGTTAGTTTTTTTTGTTTGTTTGTTTAAGAAAAATAGGCTAAAATCTGTTCTTTGTTTTCCCTATGAGGGAAAATAGTATACCTTCAACTTCTTTTTATAATTTTTTTTTTCAGTTCAGTGATTAGACATTTATAACACTTACTAAGAGATCACCCCAATAAATCTAGTACCCATCTGACAATATACATAGTTATTACAGTAATATTGACTATATTCCTTATGCTGTACTTTATATACCCATGACTATTCTGTGACTACCAGTTTGTACTTCTTTTTCTTAAAATTGTTGACAATTTTACAGATATCCCCCATTTATCCCCATCCCCTCCTCCACTCAGGCCCACCCCCTGGCCTTCACCACGCTGTTATCTTTGTCCCTAGGCTATGCATATCTGCAGGGGTGTTCTTTGGCTTTGAAACACAGGCAGCTTATGGTTTTCATATCTTGGGTGTGTTTTCTGTTTTTACTTGGGAATATCTTTATTGTCTAAGTCATTTTATTCAGATATAATAAAAAGTTTTAAAGTATAAATTGGTTGAGAAAAACATGATTATCTAAAAGGCTGTTTAGTAGTGAAATTGGCAGATGTACGGTAAGTTGGAATTTGTCTTACTAAAGGTTTTCTAGCAAGCTTATTGAGTGCCACACCTAAGACATGGCAGATGATAATTATCCTTTGTACTTTTTGTTAAGTAAATAATGTATGAACATATAGTTGACATTTTCGGTGGTACCACACATCCCTTCTCTGGGCTTGAGCTGGGCGTCTGCACAGTGGCTTTTCAGGTTTTTACCTGAGTGTTCCGTAGAGACCTGCACAGAATTCCCTTTGAACATAAGATGAGTGAGGCTAATGAAAGTGCATTTACATTATGTAAAAAGGACCTGTTCACCTAAGCGATCTGTCCTTCTGCCCCCTGAGAGAATCCTTGAACCCGAGCTACTTGGTACCCCAGACAATACTGCTGTGAGGGCCACACATCAGGTCGCCCCAGGGGACACCTTTGGAATTGTGGAATGTTAAACTAGAAAACTGTTTCTTTTTTACTATTGGTTATTTTTGGACTCAAATATGTAACTAATGCTCCCTTCCTTAAAAATACAAAAATTTTATAAAGCAAAAAATGCAAGAGATAAACCTTATTAATAAATGCTTCATATAGATTGATTTTGGATATAATAATCCACCTTTTTGTTTTTGCTACCAGTACAGAATCATGTTTTATTTGATGATCTACAACTCACTTTATTTTTCTATATTCTTCTTCTTTCTTTCTGTTCTATTCTTTCTATTTCCTTATTTTGCTGATATAGTATATCCGTGCACATACATTGCTAACTTCTTGTCTTTTTCTTTTTAAGTAAAAATTGTAGCCACGCCCACTTAATCACCACTTGGGTCCTGAAATGGAGGCTGAGCGGGAGCCCAGCTTCTGCCGTACAATACCCAGCTCCTGCCAGGATAGCCGTTCTCCTGACTTTGGTTGCTGTCAGTTACTCTGCCCCTGCTCTAAGTGTTTTTTAAATGGCATCGTACAGTATGTACCCTTTTATGGCTGACTTATTTTGCTAACATCTTTTGTGAGATCCATCCAAATCATGGTTTTCTTATTTTCATTATTGCATATTACTGAATTTTAAGACGGTATCACAGTTTATCCATTTGAAAGTACGTTGCTTGCACTTTTGTCTTCTTATCAGTGGTGCTACTAGGAACATTCTAGTATGTGATTTGGCAGATGTGTGTATGAATTTCTGTAGGGTATATACCTAAGAGTGGAATTACTAAGGAAGTGGGTTTGCGTAAGTTCAACTTCAGGATCTAGTGTTGACCATTTTTACAAAGCAGTAGTAACAGTACATTTCTCCCACATGGTTTGGAAATTGCAAGTATTCTACATCCTTGCCAGTAGTTAGTTTTTCTCTATCTCTTTAGTTTTAGCCATTCTTTTGGGTTTACAGTATTTACTCATGGTTTTAATTTTGCATTTTCCTGAGGCCTAATGAGCTTGAACACATTTTCATGTTCATTGCTATTTGAATATCTTCTCTTGTGAAGTATCTTTACCACCTGTCTTTTAGGCTATCGTTTTCTTATTGATAGGAAGGAGTTCTCTATATTTCATCATATCTAGAGCTGTGGGTGCCTGAATCCAGTGGAGGAAAGTAAGTGCTGAGATACCATCAGAAAGTTAGAGTCAGGAGAGACTGAGGAAAATAAGAGCAAGCAGATAAATATCGTCAAACTCATAGGAAGAAGAAAAACCACAACTGGGAAACCAAAGAATGAAGACAAGGTGGTTTGAGCAATATATCAAAAAGCCAAAACTTACGTGCCTTCTTTGTAAGTTTAAAAGACACCAGTCTTAGACATCTTTTTATTTCACTTAGTTCTCTGTGGAAGGAGAGTTACAAAACTCACTAGTTTTATACATATATTAAAAGACCCCTGGGAAGCCTCTGTACATAATTACCAGGAATTTTTAATTAATAGAAGTATGATGCAAGTCTGTGTTGGGAGTTCGTGCTTTCGGTTTTATAGTATATCACAAAAATTGTTTCTATGGGTGCTTAAAGATCTTTAATCACGGCTGAATTAGTAAATTGTTACTGCTCACCCTGAAACATGCTACACAGAGCTGCCTATGAGAGGAGCTTAGTAGAAAATTGATACCTTTTTTTTGGCGTTAGGGAGGGGGTTGAGGGGTGAGGGAGAGACCCATGTTTGAAATTCGTGCTTTGTCCGTCCAAGGCATCTGGCTTACTCTGTGGCAATGCCTCTTCACACAGGCCATGGCCCCAGTTGCAGCCCCACAGGCCATGGCAGCCCAGCCTTTGGAAGCACCTGTTGGTCCCCAGCAGTGAATCTCATGCCTGCTACACGATTTCTTCATTAGGGTAGAGATTATCACTAACATGGTCTTTAAATTTAATGAAAATACATTTTACCATTTTTAGTTTACATGGTGAAGGATAGAGAGAAACAGAAAATTATCAGTGGTCACACTATATAGTTTATTATTTAGAAAAATTACTTACTTATGTTATGACCTATATGTATAATGAATTTTAAGGGCCTTGTCGGGGTTCATTCCCAAAGGACTTGCTCTTACAGGGAACCGAAGCAAGAAATGACATTATTTATGCATAGGAATCATCACAGTTAAAAAGCAGATTGTTGGTTTTGATTCTGACATGTAAAGAGTCTGTAAGTCATCACTCCCATCCTCACAACAGGAAAAAAGTTGAACCGAACCACTCTTCTTAGATACATCAGAGCCCTGAGGTCCTGCCCTCACGGGAAACCACTTTACCAGTGGCGGGTGTCCCAGCGGAAAGGCAGTTAGACAACTTTAGTTCTCTCTAATCATAGTTGTCGCATTAGGGAAGGAAGAAGAAGGCCAAGACACTCTTCTGAAGGCCACAGCCCAGGGACTCAAGTCCAGTAAAAAACAAACTTGTTTTAATCATAAGACTCTTGAACACTTCCTCCCACCAATACCTGGACACAGAGCCACAGATTCTATTTAAGAAGGAGTTTCAAAAAACTTTCATTAGGAAGCCCAAAGACAACCAGGGAAAGGGAAAGTACACTAGAGGAGCCCTTGTTGTGTAGCTCGGTTGGTTAGTGTCATTCCAATACCCTAAGCTTGCAGGTTTGACCCAGTCAGGGCACATACAAGAATCAACCAAAGAGTGCATAAATAAGTGGAACAACAAATCGATGTCTCTCTCCCTCTCTCTCTCAAAATCAATTTAAAATATTTTTTTTTTAAATCACACTAGAGGAAACTGAAGCCTCTGACAACCTACAAACATTGTGCACTTGTCAGAACCCCTAGAACTGTGTAACACAAAGAATGAATCCATTCATACTATGTGCTCAATTTTTCTTTAAACCTAAAACTTCCCTAAAAATTAAAACATTAATGTTTTATTAAAAAACAGAATCTTTGTAATGACTTAGCAGTATTTGATGTAGTGATGTGGTAATGTGGGCCTGATAGAGGGACGGGGAGAAGCTGGAGTTCTTGGGAAGAGGAAGGAAATTATTTGTACTGGGCTAAAAGATGATTCTAAGGGCAGGAGCTTCGCACCCACAATTAACTGAAGGGGAATATCCTAACAATTAAGCAAAAGGAGACTGATGGCATAATGAGAGTATATAATGAATTTTCTCAATTACAGTCCAGAAAAATTTCAACACTTACAATAACATCTGTAGTGCTATAAGACAAAGTAAATGATGTGCTGGTTCTTATGCGACTGCATCTATTCTTGTAATACCCTCATGCAGGCACTCTGCTATTTTCTTTAGGTATCAAATAAAATATTAATAGTAAGAGTTTTCGAGACAGAGTAGAATGTAATGAACATTTCTCATCAAAAAGGAGAGTTAGCTTTATTTTGCTTAAAAAATAAGTAACAGAGAACTGTATCCCAAATGAGAGGCCAGCTGAGATTAGGGATGTTGAGTTATAGACTTTGGGGGTGCTGAGATTCTCTGAAACACCTACTCTCAGGCCCATGGGAGCTGTCATCGTGCACCCCGTAAGGCTCTGAGCAAGAGGAAGATTCTTGGGAGTGAGTGGAGGGGTCTGGATGCCTCCCACTTCCTTTCTAGGATATCTTGAGCTTCTTTCACTTGGTTTTTAATTTATTCCATATTATCTTTCCAAAAATTGCCTTCACCCTTCTTTTCATGTAAACTTTTTTTTCTGTCAAGTTCCAGAAGAACATGAAAATGAGAATGCCAGTTGTTTTGCTGGAATCAAGGCATGGTTTATAGGTTTTGGAGAATTATAAGCATTATTGGAAAAATATTTTAAAAATTCAATTGTGGAGAAAAGTAATAATGCAAGAATAAAAAAGCTGGAATAAAAATAAATCTGCTTTAATGAGTAGATCCTTATTTTTTAGTTAAGGCTTGAGGGACTGACACCTCTGAAAACTAAGCTCCGCAGCACCAAGCGTGGTGCAATGTGGGCAGCCATGCCATTCGCTTCCTCAGAGTGTTCCAAAAATAACTCTTGAACTGGAAGCTGCCTCTGACACATTGTCTTCTCTACACTGACACCGTCTCTGGTTATATCACTCCAGCCCCTGTGCATAGTTGGTCCCTTAAATATTATCATGGGATAGTGTTCAGGCACCAGGTGCCAAGCTGAGAGTCCTCTACTTGTTTACTGTTCAGAGTTGCAGAAGAGTGGACAACCTAGTGACAAGCAGAGGAACAGATCTTTTTGCTGGAATAGAATTACAGCTTTGGGTTCCCATGCTGCACAGTATTCTTTCTCGGGGACCAAAAGGGGATTCCTAGAGTCTTAGATTCTAGGTTCATCATCCCAGGGAATGTTACAGGGAATTCTAATCACTTCACCTTCTTCCCAGGGTCAGAGCTGAGGGATGTGAACACTTCCCTTCTTAGAGTCTATGAACAGGTAAGAATTGTGTGGGTGTATGCAGGTGGAGTGGACACCCCGAAAATAAAGCATTTCTCTCCTTTACTCATTTCCCCCAGGGTATTGTGAGGCCTCTCTTCTATGTGCTCCAATTTCAATGCTAAGGGGAAATACCTCAGACTTCAGCAGAGAGCCTTTACCTCTAAAATGCATCCATGGTCAAAGAGAGAAAGCCCCTGTTCTTCTCCAACAGTTCAATGGTGTGAGACACATTTTTGCCTTAATGATAGGTACCAAAGACTTGGGAAAAAAACAGCCCTAATGTACAGTCTCCCTGGAGAGAACATGCCTGTTTTATGAGAAAAAAGTTTTCTAAACTGAGGATTTATACTCCAAAAGGATAAAGTCAATACAGAAGAGCTCAGAGGTTGTTCTAAAGGATACAGGAATCAGGTAGGTAGAAGAGAAGGCTCCAAGTGCTGGAGTAACTGAGGGAATGAGGCAGTGGAATTTGTTCTCTTAAAAGGCCTTTAGCCAAAGATTGTCCTGGGTTTCTCTTCCTAGACAGCAATGCTATTTTGACATTCCATTATTGCAGAGAGATAAGAATTTTAAATAGCAATATCAAACATCATATGTCTAAATAAAGAATCAGGATTTGATGTCTTAAATATATGTAAATAATTCTTAGTTATATCATTGGACAGTCATCCCTGTTAGATTTCTGAACTAAAATTCTTTGGACATGAAAATCATTACTGAGAAGTAGAAAATAAAGAGTTGTTGCTTATCCTGGTACATGGGCTGTTTTTTTTTCAAGTTATGTTGATTTATTACATAAGTTGGGAGACACAAGGAATTTTCATCTCTTTATAAATTAAAATTTTGAGTAGCTATTAAAGTGAGTAATTTTACATAAATAAGGAGCATAAAATAATTTAGTATCATATGAAAATATATATGAGATATATTTAGTATATTAATTAGGTGTTTGGTAGAGTGACTCCAAGTGCATTCTATCTGTTCTTGTTGTCATAGTTACCATTGTCTTGTGGGGATACACTGAGTATCATTTATGTTGTAGATTCTATTTATTAGCAAAGACAACAGTTTCTTCTATTATTTATGTGGTTCTCCCTCATTCACTGGTTTCTTGCGCGTTTCTTCAATGATTTATTTTCCTTTTTAAAATAATTTTAGATGATGCCATTTTCCTTCAGATTTTGACTGCCAGGTGGTCTTGATATGCAGAAAATCAAAATAAGTATGTGGAAGTAAATAATAAAATAACAAGTATTTAAGGAAACTAGAAACTAAACAACCAAAAAGATGAGACTTCTGCATTATTTTATATGTAGCTACTCTCATGGCAACTTTTTATTTGCCATTAGTAAAGATGAGGCTTTAAAATATTTTTCCCTGGTGGTAATGGATTTTCATTCATATACTTTGCCTAGTTTTGATTTGGTAATTTTGAAAAGGACACTTTAAAAAAAATTTTTTTAGCAATAATATCAAATACCTGTTTTATGAATATGCTCCCTATGATGATGATAACGTATTCATCTAGCACTTCCCATACTATAAAGTCACGTCATGTTTATTGGCCCAGCTTCTCTTCAAAGGGTTGTGGTTACTATTTTTCTGAGTTTAGCTGCAGAATAGATGACTTTTCCAAGGTCACACAGCTGTCATAGCTTAGACATACAGCTTAGATTTCCCTTGCAAATTCAAAGCTCTTTTCCTTTATAACACCATTTTGTTATGACACGCTCACAGACCTCACCCCCAGGGTGGTTTAGTTAAAGATACCATTGCAAGGAGACCTGGGAGACCTGACTTTAAGCCCAGCCACAAACTTGCTGCCTTACAGGGCTCAGCCATTCGGACTGTGAGAGGGAGACCGTGTCTGTACCTCTCAAAGGGGTAGCTGAGTGGCTCCAGAGAAAGAATTAATATGAAAGGACATTAAAAATAAAGCACATATGTGAGGGTAGGATCAATACTCAAACATTTTTCTGTAAATTCTGAGGTGGATTAATAACACCTTGTTGTAACCTCCTGACTGTGTGGGGCACCTCAGCCCAGCTGGGCCCCCAGGCTGGTGGGTGTGCTCTAGGATCTGTGTGTCTTCTTTTCCTCTGACCATTGCTGAGTTCTCATTTAAACATAAATGCAAACTTCTGCAGAAATTTGGTAATTCTTTGGTAATTTTGCTTTGTGTTGAATAGATTGGCATTGACACCCGAAACCAAAAGCTGTTTCAGAGTCTCTGACATTCTTTTTCTGTTTGATGACAGTCTTTCTTTTCTTTAGAAGAATGCCTCTCTACTGGGCCAGAAATTTCTCCTTGGAGATGACAGAATTTCTGTCTTACCGTTAATGAATTTTACAGCCCAGATCCTTTTTATTTTAAAGAAATGTGAACATATCTACCCAGAACCATGCTTTACTACAAGAATAGAAGAAATTACTGCTATCCTGTAATACGGAGGTGTTTTCAGCCTCGTCAGTAAGCGCACTTTCAGATAATCTCCTTGTGGCCACTTGCAAAAGCAATTACTTTCACAGTTTGTGTTGGGATGTTTAAAAAAACCAGAGTTGCTGTATGTAGAGAAGAGGCTGAGAATAAAAGTTTAGTCATCTGTATTTCACACATACAGTATAAACTATAGTGGGAAGGTCCTTCCCCGAGTGTCTGAGAGTCTGGGTACAGTCACTCCTCTGTGGCATTGGGCAACACTTCCCTGCAGCATCTGCCAGATGATAGGCTGCATTTGGGTAGATTGAAGTGGCACTATTTCTTCATTAGGTTTATATCAACTTTGTTTTGTTTAGTTTGTTTGTTTTTGCCTCTGTGAACATAGAGATTGAGGAATAAGTTTTCAAAATAATCCTTGAGTGTTGTTCACTGTTTATCTTTAAAATTAAGCACATTTCCTGAAAAACCTTTCTAAAGCACTCCCCCCACCAAATTCTGCATCTTGAACACACTATCAGAGAAACCTTACTTCGAAGTATCCCTGCTCAAGTAGTGGTCTTACTGCTCATGGCAACATGGTTGGAGCTGCTTAGAATCCTACATCTTTATGCAGTACCTAGAAACACTGAAGTTTAATAATTTGAAAGGTATGGGTGAAACAAACAAGATATTACCGGATGTCACCAATCAATGGAAATTAATCTTTGAATGAATGCCAAAATATTAGAAATTTTTTTGGGGGGCTTCATGCCGCCAAAGGTCAAAGCGTCTTTACCTCTAGCAAATTCCTTAGAGAAGTTGCAGTATTTAAAATGGTACATGTAACTGTTCACAGAAAATAAGAGAGATGTGCAATTTGAGTTGCTCCTTCAATAACAGACATATAACCTGGGAGTATCTAATCCTACTGTCTCACAGATTTCTGAGGTAAAATACATAAGTCCTTGGAAAGAATTTTGAAAACAAGTAGTTCTTAAACTACATTTTAATGTCTTCCAGTGGAGCGATGATGGGAGAGGCAACACAGAAGTAACCAGATAAAAACTGAGGTACTGGGAGGGAGAGATGCTGAAGCCCTCCCACTTGGGGCTGCCCTGCTAACCATGCAGGGGCTTGAGGCATTTCCACAGGACCATTTCTGTGGTGCCAGAATCATTGTTTGTTCATTTGGTCATTGAGCACATTGCTTGTACACACCCAGCTTTATTGCAGGCCTCCGGGAGGCGCCAGTGAACAAGTGCAGTTGTCCTGGAGCCCACAGTCTAGTGAGAGTGACTTGACGTAAACCCAGGGAAGGCTGCAGCTGAGATAAGTGCCAGGGAAGGACAGCATTGGAGGCCAGAAGGCTGGCAAGGGCTCCCCTAAGGAAGTGACGCAGGGGCCCAAATCTGAAGGGTGAGGGGAGGGGCAGGGGGAGAGGGGAAGGGGAAAAAAGATGAGTGTTTGCTAAGTGTTCCACTAGCTAACAATATGAGCACTGGGTATGCTAAATCATTTGCTGGGATTATCAGATATAATAATCCTAATCTGGTGTTGTGGGTACCCCATTTCACAGATGAGTGAGAGCCCGCACCCTGGGCCACCTAGTTGTTTCCTACTGGGGGGGAGCTGGAGCAACAGTGATGTGTGAGACAGTCTGTTTGCCAAAAAAATCCTGAAGATGCTGT